TCAGCAGTCTTATTTTATTGATGGAATTCTGTATCATATTTCAACTCTGAAAACCTTGAACATGGCCAAAATCCATAAAGATTATAAAAGCAAACTAAGTTGTGAACCTGTAGTACTTGTAGGCATTTAGTTAAGTATAGCAATTCAAACTGACCTGCATCCATCCAAAACAAATTCCTTCTTCAATCTTATTTTTACTTGAAATTTGTTAGAAGAAACAGCAAACTGAAATTTGTTTTATGCATAATAACACTGGCTCGGCAAATACAAGTTAGTTTGCTTTAGGCAGGAGACTTTTTTTGTAATGGAAGAAATGCACTACAAAGTTAAGACAGATTTTTGCCAAGTGCGGGAGGCCCTTTATTATTGCTGCAGAAAACAAAAGCCTGAGTCGATGTTTTACATTCTGCCTTACTGAAATCTACATGACATGATGCTTTGCTGGGTTTTTGTACATGTAAACGTTGTCAGGCTGTGAAAGAAAATGGCTGGAGGTGTGCTTTGTGTGAAAGGTGAGCAATAAAGTATCCGTTAAGTTCTAAAAAAAAAAAAAATTACATAGTCATCTGCTTAATGGCGCTCTTCAAAATGCCTAGCCTGTTTATCATTCCCAATAAACTCTCCAAAAGTTAAATTTAATTATGATTTTTCTATTTTTAAAAAAAATCTCAATTCATCAGAGGCAAGAAAGATTGTATTGCTTCTCATGAATCAATTTAAGATTTATTTATCACCTTAACCTTTCATTCACTCAACCAGTTAATATTACTGAGTCTTCTTCAGCAGGCCAGACATTTTGCCTGGTACCACCCTTGTGCAGTTTTCATTTTTGTCAGAGGGACAGCCAGTTAATTAGCATACAGATTTTAAGAAGGATTGCAGTCACAATGGTGATAGGTGCTTTAAAGAAGGCAATGTCAGCAGGAGCCAGGTGGGTGAGTAGGACGTGGGACAGGGCCAACCCCACTGTTAGGAGGCCCCATTGTGACAAAAATCTGAATGATCGATCCACACATGGAGTAATTTTAAAAGCAAATCATTGTCCCACCAAGATTTTCTTGTGGATATACACAAGATTATTCTAAGATTAATATGGAAGAAAAGGAAAAGGCAGTAGAAGAAAACAAGTTTACAAAAGAAATAAAATGTCTACCCAATATTAAGATTTAGCCTATACATACGGGAGTCAAGATGTCTTATACTGGATCAATGGAGGGTAGAGAACCCAAAAATAAACCCATGTAAATCTACTGAGTTCATTTTTGATGAAGCGTGAAAGTAATTTGGCAGAGGAAAGATAGTCTTTCATCAAATGGCGCTGCAGCAATCAGAAAGGGAAAGGAAAAAAGAACAAAAAACCTAAACCTACGTCTCAAACTTTATACAAAAGTGAACTCAAAATGGATCAAAGACTGCAGCATAAGACATAAAACTATGAACCTTTTTAAAATTGAAGAAAATCTTTAGGATCTCAGGCTTTGCAAAGAATTTCTGAGTCTTGACACCAGTTGCAACACGTACAAAAGGAAAAGTTGACCAATTGGACTTCGCAAAATTAAAGCTTTTGTTTTACAAATAATTTTTTAAATTAAAAAAACCTGTTTAGAAGATAAAAAGATAAGCTACAGAGTGGGAGAAAATATTTGCAAATAAATATAGCAAAAAAGTATATATTGCATGTTTATAGCAAAGGACTGAATAGAATACGTAAAGATCTCCCAGAACTCGAGTAAAAATAAAAATAAAAAATCTTATTAGAAAATGGGAAATGCAAATGGGTTGTCTTTTCCTTTTTGAGTGGTATGAGTTCTTTATTTTGGGGGGCACTAAGTTCCTTATCGTACACATGATTTGCAAATACTTTCTTAGTCTGCACCTTCTTGAATTGGCTCCCATAATATGTGTATGAGTGATCAGTTTTTCTGCTTTCTCACCTGTACTTAGAGATGATGTCATTATGGGAAATGGGAAATGTTAATAAGATGTGAAGAAACTGGAATCCCTCTTATATCACTAGTGGAAACACAAATTGGTACGGCTGCTTTGTACAATAGTTTGGCAGTTTCTCAAAATGCTAAACATAGCATATGACACAGTATTTGCACTCCTGGGTATATACTAAAGAGAACTGAAAACATGTGTCCACATAAAAAAAATTGTATACAAATGTTCTTAGCAACATTTTTCACCATAGACAAAAAAAAAAAAAAAAAAAAAGGAAGCAACTCAAATGTCTGTCAACTGAGGGATGGATAAACAAAATGTGGTATATCCAAACAATGGAATATTATTTAGCTATGAAAAGGAATGAAGCACTTACAAATGTTACAACATGGATAAATCTTAAAAGGATGCTAAGTGAAGGAAGCCAGACACAAAAGGCCACATGTTGTATGATTCTATGTATATGAAATATTTAGAATAGACAAATCCACAGAGGCAGAAAGCAGAATTGTGCTTGTCAGGAGCTAGGGAAAGGAGGACTGGGGAGTGACTGCTAATGAGTATGGAGTTTCCTGTTGTGCAACAAACATGTTTAGAAATGAGATAGTGGCTGCACAATTTTATGAATGTACTACACTACACTGAGTTGTACACTTTAAAAGGGTGAACTTTATAATGTGTGAATTATATTTTAATAAAGCTAATTAGATAGATAGATAGATAGATGATAGATAGATAGATGTAGTTAATACAGGTGGCAATTTCTTCAAAAAAGAATCATACCATTACCATATGACCATGAGGGAAAGTGTTCTCTTTCCGGGTCCACGAAGGGGTGTAGTTTTAAGGACAAGAATTTCCCAGCGCCATGCCCCCCTCCCATCTCTCTCCATCCGGGAGATTTAACAGTTTATGTTTGAATCTCGCGGGCGTGGGAAGAAACTAAAAGTCAATCCCCCAGCAGAAGTTTAAAGGAACTCCTTTCATTGGCCAGAGGAGCTTGGGCAGGAGGGAATGTCTCCCCGGATAAATTCTCATTGCTCCTTCACCCACACCAGATTTCCAGCTCTCTGGGATCCCCTCCCACGTGGGGTGAGCCCCCTTTCCCCTCTGGGACTTACCCTTTGGAATCCCCTTCCACACTCTTTGTGGAAGTCTTTCTCTTCTTCTCCTTTTCTTCTCCTCTCCATCTAAATAAAATCACCTTTCTGCAACACTTCTTGGGTCTGATATTTACTTTTACGAGGTACGGCGCACCTGCAGTGGTCCCATCGCTCATCCTTTAAGAGACTGGAGGCCAAGAACCCACAGCATTCTCTCGGGGGAGCTGTGCCTCACCAGCACCCAAGAAAAAACACAGTTACAACCACACAATTGCACTTGCAGGCATTTATCACAGAGACCTGAGGACTTGAGTCAACAGAAAAACCCGTCCACCAGTGTTTACAACAGCTTTGTTTATAATAGCCAAAAGCCGGAAACAGTCCAGATGTCCTCAATGAGTGAATGTTTAAGGAAGTGGTGGTTCATCCACATCACAGAAGAATAATCAGCAATGAAAGGGACACCCTACTGATGCAGACAACAGACTGGATGCAGTCTCCAGATAACTATGCTAAGTAAAAAAGCCAATCCCAGGAGCTTATAGCCTGTATGATTCCATATGTAACACTATTAAGACATCAAAAGCTACAGCAATGAAAACAGATTATGCTGAGGAGGGGCGGGGTGGGAGGGAAGTGGGTCTGTCTGCAAAAGAAACTATGAGGAATCCTAGTGGTAAAGGAAATGTCCTTCATGTTGACTCTATTGAGACGGGGCGGGGGTGGCAGGGGAGCCCTGGAAGCCTGCGGAGCCCAACCTCCTCTTCCTCCTCGCCGGGAGCCCGCGATGCAGGTGCAGGGGGCTGGACTGTGGACGCCCTGATCTCCAGCAGGCGGGCTCTGCTGTCTCCCACTGTGGAGGCCAGAAGGAAGGGCACCTGCCCTCTTGCCCCTGGATCTACTGGAGACTGACCTGGGGTCCTACCCACCTATCCACACCTCCACCCTGCAGCAGGGCCCCTGCAGACTTGGCCTCATTTTCTGGATGAAGACGCAGCACCCCTACGGCGGGGCACACCCACCCCTGCCACGAGCTCTCCTTTACGCACAACCCCAGTGTGAAGCCCCCATGTCATCCATGCTTGGCTGTTGTTGGTTTTTGGGACCCTGGCTCCCTAAGGGGCCTGGCTGTCCATTCACAGTGACCGAGAGTGGGTCCCACGCAGCTCGTCAGAGGCCTTGCCCCATCACAGCTCCCACCCTCCAGACCTTCAGGCACCCCTGGGGTCACACCCCCGGAAGCCCTCCATAATCTACAAGTCTGACCTAAGTACTAGTGACTGCTACCTTCCAATAGAGTGGGAATCCTTAAAATTGAGGGTGGCGTTTGCTAGGGTGGCTTCTACCCAGGATTAATCCCTGGAACAACTTTCTGAATAAAATAAAATAAAAAATTGGCTGCATGGTCAATAAACTTGCAACTTTTCCCTTGGAGATAACACAACATGCTGTAATGTCTAGGAAAACTTGCAGTGGAGAAACCGGTTTCAAATTTCTGATTTTATGACTTTTAAAACTAAAATTAAATTAAGTTTTTATCCTAAGAATTTCTGGCTTTTGCCATGGATTCATTTCTGTATGGCCTGGACTCCTGACCGCCCCTTTAGTTTTAAAGGGAATCCACACCTGAAGGAGTCAGATGTGGATTCAGATAATCAAAGCCCCACGCCTGCAACTTGAGTGGCGGCACTGCCTTGCTTCTGCACCAAAAGTTGCAAAGTCTAATTTCTTGGTTTCTAATTATGATTAAATAATTTATATGCTGTACTACATTAAATCAGATCCTGTCAGCCCCTACTCCCCAGCAAATGAACTGTCACTTAATAGAATATTCAAAAAACAACCAATGCGTCTGAAAGATAATTGCTTTCAATTTTCTAAGTTTTCACTTATACAGCATAATGAAGGCAAACTGACATGACCTGACTTTTTATAGACATGGTTGTCCCCAACATCTGGCCAATAGTATCTAAATATTTACAAGGAAAAATTAGGCAAAGAAAAAAGAAACTTTCATTATCCAAGTTGATTTCTTTCTGATGCTCATCAAAATTTTAAAAATAAAATACCTTGTTAACGTTCTAGTCCTTCCTGTTGCCACACTGCTTCAGCTGGCGGCGTCAAGAAATTTCAGTTTAACGATGTTTTTTTTCCACAGTTCTCCTACTCCTGTTCCGTGCTATTTTAGAAGTTATCTAGAATAGTAAATTAAATATGTAAGTGTAAGCCTTGAAAGCAGAGAGAAAAGAATAGATATACGTAAGATACAAAATTCTCACACTTTACAACCTTGAATGCCAAGATAATAAAATGCTCTCTATATTTTCTATGTATTTCAGTTTAATTTAATAATATTGCAAAACAAATTTTCTGAAGGGGATACTAGATAATAGCAATGACATTATGACTTTATAAATATACCTTTGCCCTAGTTTTTGCTAAAGAAACAGTTCTTTTAAAGTGACAAATATAAGTTATAACATGAAGCGCTTAAGATTAAGAAGCCTTAGCAAATTACAGTATCTTTTAGCAATGAATCTTTCTCCAGTTAGGCGAAGGACAGACACTGATCATGTCCACACTTGGTTTCATGAGAATGTGTGCTATAAGAACAAATCTTCAATGATAACACTGGCTCCCAGCTATAATCAAGCAAATATTTGTACATGTCCACAGATGTACATTTTTACAGAATAGGCTTTACTGAAATGTTCTTAGGAAAGAGGACTTGAATAGATGAATGCGTTCCTTCAATAATATGTTTAAGCACCTTTCAGTGTCAAGTTCCTGAGTTGAGTGCCAGAGGGAACACAAATTTACCTACCACAGAACCTGCTCTCGGAGCTCACAGGAAGACGTGGTAAATCAGCGAATGAATGCAGTAAGATGAAGGAGGTGATGAATTATGTGTGTCACCTGAAGTGACAGAAATGATCAGAATCCAGTTTAAAAAGCTTATTCAGGTGAAAAGCTGGAAATGGCCATCCAGAAGACAAAGACACCAGAGAAATGGGGTCAGTGCTTCGAAGTTAAACGTTGTTTTGCTTTTATATCTAGTGTCAGCTGAAGAATCATGAGGTTTATAAATTTGGAAAGGAGAGCTTTATTTCTCATAAAGGGTTGCAGCCTGTAGGCTGGGCATCCTGTAGGCTGGGAAGTGTAGCTTCTGGCAGAAGCTGGAAGCAGGCACTTCAAGGGAGGGAAGGCTAAGACAGAAACTTCAGTTGAAGAGGTTGGCTAGGTATAGACAATCTATAGGTTATAAGAGGAGCTCTGAATATTTACAAAGGGGAGAAACAGGCGTGTGTAGTAGACTAACATATATGTAACATGCATCCCACATTTACTTTGGGGTGGAGACTTAACATTTAAATGTGTTATAATTAGATCCTATACATCAAAAGGTGAAGCAGAGGACCTGAAAGCCATCAGTGTGCAGTCTCTTTAAACTGGCCAGAGCCACTCTAGGGTTGGTGGTCTCTCATCAGGAAGAAATGTTAATCAGTTGCTGTCCACCAAACCAGGGGCAGTGTCAGGCAGTTGGTTGGTTGAAGTCAGCAGTCAATAAGTCTTTCAAGAGGACTAGTTTTTGTTTAAATCTTATGAAAAGAAAGTCTAATGGCAGTTAGCAAAGGAGGGGCTATCATGAGGTGCATCTGACCTCCTATATTTTTGTGGCCGAGAGCTCAGTTTTTTTTAAGGTTTCTCTGGGGTCCTCTTGGCTAAGAGGGGGTCTGTTTATTCACATAGGGGGCTAAGGATTTTATTTTTTATTTCTCATTGGGCAGAAAACCAAGAAGTTTTAGTAGGATTATAACATTTTCTATGCAAGACTGGTTTATTACTTGCAAAAATTTAATTAGTACAGTGTGCTTTTTTCTCCATGTGGCTTTTTTCCTTCTCTTTGTGGCTAGCTTTTGTTTCCAATTTAAAAGTACACATTTAATATTTTATTTTAGGCAATGTGATAGCCAAAGTCTTTGTGTGAGAAAGGTAAGAAGGACGGTAATCTATAACGAAGGTCAGTAGTGAAGAGGGAAGGGGACTTTCTTGTCACTCTTTAGTCATTTGTAACATTTTCAAAACACTGTAGGTAAGGAAGAAGGCTAATCTATAATCAGACAAATACAGATTACAGCTGCCTACGTTACAACTTCCTGTTTGTAAGAGTCAGATCCCATAATCACATTTCCTTAAGACTCAAAATATTTTAAAGTTTCAGCAGCTTAGATTTTGAATTACTTATTTTCACATGTGAAGCTAAAGTTTTATAAAAATTCAGAGAAGGAAGCTATGATATTATGAAGTACATATATTTGGTCTTTGCCAGTTTTCCTGGCATCCAACTTTTAATCCTTAGAAACTTCTAAGCTCTGTCTTTTTGTTTGCTGATGTTTACTGATCGCTTCAGGGTATGGTTTGCCACCAGAAAGATAAAGGCATAATTAGAGGGTTAGGACTTCCAGTCCCACCTCCTAATCCCTAGGAAGGGAAAGAAGCTGGAGGTTATGTTGATCATCAGTGGCCAGTGGTTTAATCATTCACGTCTACATGATGGAACTGCCATATAAACCCAAGAGGACAGGGTTCAGAGAACTCCCAGATCGCAGAGCCCGGGAAAGTCCTGGAGTGTGATGCCCAGGGAGGGCGTGGAAGCTCTGCGCCCTCGCAGCACCTCCGTCTGCACCTCTTTGTCTGTATCCTTGATGGACGTATCCTTGGAATATCCTTTACAATAAACTGGGAAACACAAGTCGATGTTCCCCTGAGTCCTGTGTACGACTTCAACAAATTGAACTCAAAGAGGGGTCCTGGGATCCCCAATTTATTGCCAGTCAGTGAGAAGTTTCAGAGCCTGGACTTGCCACCGGTATCTGAGGGCAGGACAGTCTTAGGGACTGAGGCTCAACCTGTGGGATCTGAGTTTATCTCCAAGTAGACAGTGTTAGAACTGAATTGGAAGGCACAGAGCTGGTGGCCACTGCTTGCTGTGTGGGGACACCAACGCTGCCATATTAGGTCATGGAAGTCTTCTGCGTTGCTGGCTGCTGTGGTGTGGGAGGAGAGGAAAACCAGGGTTTGAGAGATTTTCCTAAACAGCTGAACACATGAAGGTTCCTGAAGGGTGGCATGCCCCTCTCCCATGCTATGTCCTGTGCACTTCATCATCTGTATTATTTGTAATATCCTACGTAATAAACTAGTGAACATAAGGGCTTCCCTGAGTTCTCTGAGCAGCTGTCACAAATTAATTAACCCAAAGAGGAGGCCATAGGATCGCTGATTTATAGCCGGTCAGTCAGAAGACAGGTAAAACAACCCAGGGCCTGCGATTGGCACCAGAAGTGGAGGCAGTCTTGCAGGACTGAGCCTCACTCTGTGGAGTCTGACGTTATCTCAGGTGGTAGAATCAGCACTGACTGGACTGGAGGACTCCCAGCAGCGTCTGCTGCAGAACAGACCGATTGCTTGGTGTATGCGGGGGAAAACACACATTTGATCATAGGTCTTCTGTGTTGACTGTGGGGTGAGAGCAGAGGAAAAGCAGTCTGTCTTTTCCCCTTCACAAGCCTAAGTCCAAATAGGAACGGTCACTTATTGACTGAACAAATCCTTAGCACCTGTCATGAGCCAGGCATTGATCTAGGTACTGAGGATACAGCAGTGGACAATTTAGAAATAGTCCCTGTCCTCCGGGGCACTGTTCCAGTGGAAAGATAGACAAGCCCGTAAACAAAGGTGAAATCGGATGCATTTGGCAATCCCAGGCAATGAAGAAAAGCAAAGGCAAGCGAGAGACAATACAAAGGAAGAGGGAGTGTGCAGGGAGGTCGTTTTATATTGGAGGAGTCACTTAGAAAGGCTGTGAAGAGTCTCTGTGTGTTTCTGTGTCTGTGTGTATATATGTGTATATGTATGTGTGTTATATGTCTGGGTGTGTATCTGTGAGTATGTGCACGCATGCACACAGGGCGTGTTAATGATGTAGAGGTCTTATGTTTGATTGCTGTAAATAAAGGCTAGATGCTGTCGATTCTGTGCTTCCAATCTCCTTTATACATAGGCATATGAATAAATGCCAAAAGTTTGATGACCATAGAGAAGAAATGTCTACATTTATTTTCAATTGACATGTCTAATCTTTGGAGAACAATTCAAATTATTAAATCATTAATTGATCTTTTAAAGCATGTTTACTTCCAAGGTTTATATTCACTTTTAAATTTTAAACAAGTAAACTAATAAATGCTTTGAGGAAAAAACAAAACTACTGTAATTAGGTTATCGCCACTTTAGCTTATAATTAAAGAATTTCTGCATTCTTTAAGCCCAGAATGAAAAATCTGAAAGATTATTCTACCACAATCATTGCTTTGTAATTTGCCACTGAACATATTAGACTAATTGTTTACATGCTATTTATCTGCTCTTCATTTAAACAGAAGAGCTAGTTTTTACAGACAACACGCAAATGTATCTTGGCAGTCGGAATGGAGCCATATTTTTATCCATATGAACAATAAGAAAACGTAAACCATTAGAACCTTAGACCATTCAGGCATCTTCAGAAGTTATGAAAGCATTGCTTCATCTAAGGGCAAAGCAGCACACAGTCACTCCAGCAGCAAACACGAAGGGCTTGGTATGCTTTAGAATATAATTAACCTGTGAGAAATATATCGAGAGGGAAAAGCCAAGGTCGGAATATAATTGCAATATGCTTTTATTTTACTGATGCATTTTTGCTCTCTTTCTTTTTTATCTTTAGGTCAAACACAGAAAGAACTGAGAAAAATGTTAAATATAATTATATAATAATTTCTCATTGACTGTTGGACAAATGCCAGTGACTCCTTGCAAAAAGCAGAAATGAAGAGGGTACTTTTCTTAGGAAGGGAGTTAATTTCTAAGAATCAGTTCTATTACTACAGACCATAAAAAATTCCAACTTCAATTTGCCAATCATGCAGGCAGCTACCGAGAGATTTCTCCTAAGAGAAATATCCTAGAGAAAATAAAATGGCAACTGGACCAGGGGAATGGGTGAATTGGTCAGATTCTCTCTACAACAAAGGATGATTTACAAGATAAACTTATAAATTATAATATTCTAAGATGCATGCCATAAAAATGCCAAGGCAGTAAGATATTTTATATGATAAACATTTACATTTTTAAAATCATTAGCAAAACAATAAAAGAAACAAAATAGCAAGAGTGCTAAATGAATCCATAGAGATATTCCAAAAAGCAGTAACTGCATTATTCATAGTTCACTGACCTTCAAATTCAAGGATGTCAGTTTTTTAGGGCATTATTACAGCATTTAAGTAAACGCTTGAAACAGATGTGAACATTTTCTAACTTGAAAGCAAGAGTGCTTAATTCTACTTTCCCCTAATTTTTTTGCCCCTATTTGAAGCACTAATCCTTTCTTGCTCTGGTACTTTGACTTAAAATCTCACCACCCTCCTGTTTACTTCACATTGAATTCGTTTGCTTTAGTCAGTTTTTAGGGGTCAGAAACAATGTTAGCTACAAAAAGGCATAATGATATGACTTCTATTGTTAGTTTAGTAATGCATGAGAGAAAATGTGGCTTTCTTACATAATACTGCCTTTCCTTCCAAAAGTAATTAGAAACTTCCCCAAATTTTGAAGTACTTTCCAAATTAATAATTTAGAATACTGCTAAATTCGTACAGCCCTCTATTTTTGCCTGTCTTTGCATTTCAACATAAATACAAATGTAAGGAATAAAAATATGTATATTTTCTCACCCTATGCTAGGTTCATGCCTGAGTCTCCTCCTATAAGACAGATTAACAAGAAGAAAGCATACAAGCGTATTTAACATAATTTGCATGTGACATGGGAGTCTTCAGAAATTGAGATCCAAAGAAACAGGGAAACACATTTTTCATGCTAGGTTTGAAGAAGGGTGGACAGTCTTGGGGAAGTATGGCTGGACAAAGGGGGTGTGACCTAACAGTAATAACTTGGGGGGCAGGAGGGGTTTAGCAAGGCCACTGTGTTCAGATTATTCTGTGCCCCTGTGTCTTCAGAGATAGGAATGTTTCTTTTCTCTGGGTAAAGGGTATGCACTTCTTGAATGAGGGTCTCATGATGTGCTTCAGGGTAGAAGGGCAGAGGAGGATGAGGGAGACCTTCCTGCTTCTGCTGTTTTTTCAAATGTCAAAGCGCCATGCTTTGGGTTAGTGTGTCCTGAACCCCATTATGAGATACAAATAAAATACACACATAAAATAAAAGTTGGATATCATTTTCTGCATTGTTGCACTAACAGCCATATCTTTTTGATGCTAAAAAGTAGAATCACAAATGCTAGACTGAGGCAGATTTTAATGACATCACACCAGAAACAGCAAAGCCCAGATGCCATCTGGAAGTTTTTCTCTCATCTTTCAGTCGCAAATCAGCCAAGCCCAGAGGCAGCTGGGCGGGGAGGCAATGCAGTGCTCAGCCAAGATCGCATTCAAAGAGCTTCCAGGAAGGAAGACAGGGGAAAGCCTTCACACGTGGAGTGAGCTCTGCTGGGCCGTCAACAGAGAGACTGAGAGGTCCCTGAGACTGGCAGGGGCCCAATGCAACGAAGTCCCTGAGGAACAGCTCTGAACAGAGACAGCCAAGAAGAAGATGCACCTCTTCCAATGGGTCCAACTCCCAGGCAGCAGGAACTGGAGGTCGAGGTGCGCTCAGGCTTCAGGTCACTACAGAAAGTGCAGCTCTCACACCAGCACCATGCCCGACTCATGCATCTCTTGTGTTTGCAAAAACCCAGATCAAAGGAAACATTTCTATCAAGTGAGTGGTTACAAACCACAGAAATTGCTGTTTAAAATGGATTGTACACTTGAGGAAAGAAGATATTTCAATCCAAGACAACACCCACATTAGCCATACTGAGGGACGACTAACCTACATAAAAACTGAAAAGATAAAATCCTCAAGTTTTAATTATGTAAAGATCAAACATATAATGCAATTCTCTTTAACTACTAACTTCCTATGGTAAATACATTATTTTGAGTAAATCAAAGAAAAACTTCACTAAAATTAATCAAGACTAAATAAAAGCTTAGAAATGTAGAGCCCATGAGAAAACCAAACTGTAGAGAATTGCAAGTAAATAAGAGAAAGGCCATAGACATTTTAGGCACAGAAGATAATTCAAATTTGAGCCAGTGCTCTTTTTAGATTAATGTAACAGCACATAACATACTGAACACTTCCTATCTGTCTGTCTCATCCTTACGCATACACAATATCCTATGAGATAGGCACTACCATATGCACATCTGAAAGATGTGGAAGGGAAGGCCCAGCGAGGTGAAGATATTTGTCCAGTATTCAGGACGAAGGCCAAGAGTCAGATCCGAATAATCGGACTTCAGAACCCAAATTCTTAACAGGTACTCCACAGAGATTAAAGCAGTCAGATGCGTTATAACAAGATAAACTGGTAGGTGGTATAAACCCACTGGCATGGCAGTACTAAACATAGCAGGCCAATGCAAAGAACGCATGTGCTTTATGTCAAGAAAGGTTAATTTTAACTCTATCAATCACAATGCATTTTTTAAAAATCCCACAAGTGAAACTAGTAAGGCAAACAATAGCAGCTGAAGCAAAAAGTGTCACTTGAGCAAAAGCCATTAGCAGATAAAATGATAAGGGATCTTGAACTTCCCAAAGCTCTACCTAATCTCATATCTTAAGTGTCAGGATCAGTCATTGCAGAACCTTGAGGAAGAGAGAGAACAGAGAAGAGAAGAGAGGAGAGAGAAAGAGAATGCTAATGTAGGAACATTTTGGGAGTGTAAGGGAAGAATGTTCAGAAAATCTTTATACAATTTTTGCAATGTTTGTGAAAGTCTGAAATTATCAAAATAAGCATTTTAACTAGTAGTTATAACTTTACAGACAAGAAAGATAAATATCTTTAAATGAGAATTTGAAGTGCTTAATATTCTATTGAATAGATATGGACTTTATATAGTGGTTTATCTTTAAATAACTGAAACATGAAAGTTTGTCTTACATTTTTACATGTATTAAACAATGTGTTATAAGAGTTCAAATCATCAAAATGAGAGTGAGCATAATACCAGCACATGACCCAGACATCACCAAAGACAACGGCTACATAAGTGTGCTGTTTCCAGGACAAGTGGAAGAGCACACACAGGGGGCTAAGGTGATCAGTGCAGCAGAGCACACTGCGCAGCCTGCAGAAAATAATGTGGGACTGGGAATGGTGGAGAAAGGGATGGGAATGGAGCTATGGAGACCACACCTCACAAGTCTGGGATGAGACCAGAAGCATTTGGACATGAATCAAAATTTTGACACCAATGCTCAGCCAATAACAGAAGCCTCTGAGCTCTTGTGACATACTCCTCAAAGAAGCATGCAAAGTTGTTTCATTCCCCAATTGCTCCATGAAAGTGAGTCAAGTTGTATTTCCCGATTCAGAGTTTCAGCTTCAGCTCATGTGTCATGTGGCAAACAACAAGGGAAATTTTCATACAGAGGTGTACGCTCCACAAACAGAGCTACAGTGGGCACTGCGGGGACAAAAACACTTCCTCCACCTGCTTTGATTCAGTGGCTTGAGCCTGTGAACAAAACTGATAAAAGACACATTGACCGGAGAAAAGCATAAAGGTAGTATTAATATTTTGAATTTTGTGTGCACAAGGGCTCCACACACACAAAAAAAGTTAAAAAAAAAACAAAAACAAAGAAGCAGTTAGACTTAAAAGATCACATACCATTTTAACAAAAGGCAATAAACTGTAAGGAAATGATTAGACAAAGGAGAGAGGTTTTAGTCTTCTAGAGGTGATAACTTTCGGGAAGGTGACTAGGAAATATATCAGGGAACGAATGAAAGTAAGGGTTATTTTAGTAAGGTCTGTTTATACTGATTTGTCTTGGTGCTGGCTCTCCATCTCTGGTGATAAAGGTAGCTCTCTTCATCCTTGTTCAGGAGAGGGGAAAATTCATGTCATTTTCACAAAGACAAGTTTATGCATTGCTTTTAGGCACAAAAGGGTAGAGAATTTTTCCTGCATCTGTTGATTCTCAATTGCCTTCAGCTCAAAATAATCCTTACGTCAAAGAGGGTTTTTTTTTTTTTTTTTTTTTTTTTTGGAGTGGCATGTTCTGGACCCTTCAGCACCTTTCCACTCATGTCTAAAACTCCAGGTTTGTTATCCCTAAATGACTGCATTGGCCTGTATTTTTGGCATGAATTTGATTTTGGAATCAAATTCATTCTTAGCTTCTCACCAAAGTGAAGTATGGCTTTTTCTCCCTATTTTCTTGTTTCTTCACCACAAAGCCTCAGTTCAATTGACCGTGTCAGCCAGCTCCAAGAGCTGAAATTAGATGTGCCTAGTATAAATCAATAGAAAGGAAATCAAAAGTAAAAGCCCAGTGTCTTAGTCTGTTTTTACTGCTGTAATAGAATACCATAGTCTACTAAGTAATTTATAAAGAAGAGAGATTTGTCTGTCTCAGGGTCCTAGAGACTGGAAAGTCCAAGACTGTGGGGCCACAGGTGGTGAGGGCCTTCTTGCTACATCCTAACATGGCAGAAGGTATCACATGGTGAGGCAGGGCACAAGACAGAGAGAG